AAAGAGTCGGCGCCTTCACCTTCTGTGTGGCATATTTGCCATTGGTGCAGCGGCATCTTCGCCAACATACTGGAAACCGAAACCGTGTACCACTACATCGACCATTTCCATCCTTTTAACACGAACACTGGAAGCAAGGACAGTTACCCTTCGACCTCGACGAAGGTATACATTCTGTTAACCACTATCTTCCCATGCCATTGAACTTGATAGCCCACCATTCTAGTGATAACTACCTATTTGAGACTAGCTATTTGAGAATTGTCGGGCCTCGTGACTTGTGCACCATAGTGATAGTACATCATCTTCTATGTTCTAAGTTACTCTGTGCATATCTTAAATATTAGTCTCGCATATTTGCTTGAGCATCAAGGAAAGTGGTAAAGGACAAAATATCAAAGAGAGAGAGAGAGAGAGAGAGAGACCAAAGGAAGATACAAAAGAAAGCTTTTAACCCATTGGCAAGCTTTTAACCCATTGGCACGGAGAAGTGGTATAGAAAAATGTTGCAGTGTTCTTGTAGGACGGTGCACAAGTGCAAATCTAGACCATGAGAGCAATCAAGCCAGCGTCTCTCCTTGTGTTTGTGCAGCAAGAGCTAGTCTACGCTAGGCCCAATTTTATATGCCCATTTCTTGTTGCACAAGCCCCATTATCCCACTGTGTACGTTCCTATTGCTCATCTCCTATACATTTATGATCTATTGCTTGGCATTTTGAGTCCTTTGAATTGATTTCAACTTCTACAATACCTTGGACCTCAATTTGCATGATTTTGTGCCACTAATCCTCACCAAACTACTCTACAAGCCTTGTTGTGTAGGTGTGAGATTGACAAGATTCGGTACCAATTGCACTCTCTTCGCATTCCATAGTGAGAGATCACTTAATCCATTCTTAACTTCGGGAAGAGGTAACTTTAGTATTGTTCTTTTCAATCCCTACTTACTCCAATCTTTGATGACCACGAAGACACCAATCAACTCGTCACCAAGTCACACAACGTCGGACTTCAACGAGCAATGAATAACGCCAATGCAGTCTTGCATGAGTGCATTCGTAGTCTTCGATGCCAAGATGAACATTTCAAGTCTTCCTCATCTTCATCGTCAAGGAGTTCAAGTCGACATTCATCTGAGCTACCATCCAGCGCAAGTACACCACGACACCGTCATCATCTACGTGACGACCGTGAAGACCCTCAAGCTCCAAATCATTTCCATGGCAATGGGTTACAAGGGTACATTCTTGAGCATGACCGACGTTGTTGCGAAGAGCAAGAGCATCAAGATGCCTTCAATCGCCAATCGCGTGAAGATGATGAAAGACGTCGACAACAAGAAAGCCGTCTTCGTCAAGATGAAGAACGTCAGGCACACCGGCAAGAAGAATGTCATGTGGAGCAAGCTAATCTAGCGCACCAAGCTCCCCGTGACGCTACCTACAACCTCCAAGAGCGCAACCGGAGAGCACGCGAAGAGCACCAAGATGAAGAGGCTCGCATCAAGTAACGCCATGAAATGAGGCGTATAGCGAACGCACCTCGTTTCCCACGTCAAGCACATCATGAGGAGCGTGAAGACTTTCGACCTCCTCCGCGTCAAGAGCAACGCCAACCTCACAACAATCAAGAAGGTGGAGAACGATTTGGCAAGCTCAAGTTCAATATGCCAAAGTTCCCCGGAGGCACCTCTCATGGGCACTTGAAGTGGACAAAATCTTTCGCCTCCACAACTTTGACGAAGCGAAGAAGATAGATATGGCTTCGCTTGAGTTTGATGAGTATGTCCTCATTCGGTGGGAGCAAGTCACTGAACGATGACAAGAACAAGGCGAACCTCCTATCACCACTTGGGATGCCATGAAGCAAGTTACTGAGAGCAAGATTTGTGCCTACACATTACACGCGAGATCTCTACAAGAAGTTGCAAGATCTCAAGCAACGCATAAAGTCCGTAGAAGAATACTACAAGGAAATGGAGATTGCAATGATACGAGCCAATGTGAAGGAAGACGAGGAGCAAACTATGGCAAGATTCCTCAATGGTCTCAACTATCTAATAAAGAAGATTGTGGACTTTTAACCATACTCCAACCTTCTCGAGATCGTACATCAAGCATCAAAGGCAAAACAACAGGTGCAAGATGATATCAAGTACTCCAAGTTCTCCGCCTATCCTTGAAGAAACTTTGGTGCCAACAATACTCAAGCTTCTCCAAGTGCGGCACCATACACTCGAGCTACACCCACTAGTAGTGTGACGCCAAATTCAAGGCCACCGGCGACTAACTCAAGTCCTCCACCTACTACAGCAAGCTCCTTCAAGCCCCGCGCTTCATGAACTACAATTACTCCACCGGACTCCACCGACAAAACAAGTTGCATATAATGCTTCACATGCGAGGCTCTTACTCGAAGTCGCCACAAAACATTCGAATGTCCTACAAGAAGAACAATGATCCTCAACACGGATGGCAAGTATGACTATAAGCAAAGATGAATTAGAAGCATTGG